ATATGTATATATTCCATACTTTCTTCATCCATTCTTCATTTGAAGGGCATCTGGGTTGTTTCCAGGTTCTGGCTATTACAAACAATGCTGCATCTTGTTCCTGAAGAATCATCTCTCCTCTTTTAGACTTAGGCAGCACCTCATGTCTTATGCTCAAGTCAGATGTACCTTGCTGTGGCTCCTTCCTGCTTTCAATCTAGTCTTAGTCTGCCTTTCAGTATTTCTTTCAGTTTAACATATTTCTCTTGAGCAATTGCTGTACATTGTCATAGTTATTTTATGTCCATCTCTCATGAAAGGTAAGTTTAGTTTTGAATCCCTTGTACTAAAGCAACATAAGTGTTCAGTGCTATTAAAAGAATTTGAATGTTTGCTCTGACCTTCATTTAAAAACTTTAAGAATGAAAAAACATGCTTCTGCTTCTCAAATTGCTAACCTGAAGCATTTCAAATAACTAATACAGAATTTATATGGAGAGATGGTTACCACCAAGAAGCAATGATCCTTCCTTCCTCCTGCCCACATTCCCCATGTTTCTGTCCTCCCAACTACTTCGAGTTCTAGAAGTTTGAAAACTCATTTGTGTCAAACTTAAGTGTCCATTGCTTTTATGACTATTACCAATGCCTATGCTATTTTGGAGATTCCTTTTAAGGCATCCTAGGGGAAATGACTGAATTGTGGCCTATTTTTAAAATAATAAACTAAACAGAGCATGGTGGTATCTGCTTGTATTTTAAGTGCTTGGGAGGCTGAGAAGGATTGAAGTTTGAGGCCAGCTTGTGATATGGGATTCCCCTCTGTATGCTATGAATATGTTTTATTAACATTGATTATTAAAGAAGCTTTTTCAGTCAGTGGCTTAGTAGAGTAAAGCCAGGTGGGAAATCTGAACAGAGATATAGAGAGAAAGAGTAGGCAGAATCAAGAGAGATGCCATGTAGCTGCTGAAGCAGAAAGACACCAACTACTAGCCAGAACCTTACTGGTAGGCCACAACTTCATGGAGATACACAGATAAATAGAAATGGGTTAATTTAAGATGTAAGAGTTAGCTAGAAATATGCCTAAGCTATTGGCCAAACAGTATTGTAATTAATATAGTTTTGTGTTATTATTCAAGTCTGGGTGGCTGGGAAATGAACAACCAGTCTCTGTCTACAAGCCTGGACTACACAATGAGACTCTTAGAAAAGGTAACATTTGAAATAAAATTCACTAGTGGGGAAAAATGAATAAAAACAACCAAGGCAGTTATATAAAGATATATATTCAAATATATTGCTCAAGTGATACATTCTTTCATGTTTTCCTTATTTCCCAAATGTCAGTTTATACATTTGGCTCATTACAAAAATGTGTTTGAAAATTATGGTGTTTAAGAATGTTCTATAAATTCAGTATTTACAAGGAACTTTTATCATTAAAAAATTTGACTAAATACTTTATTATCTAAATCCAGAAATACAGTAGCACTGTATGGTACTTAAAAATAAGGTTATTTATATATTGAAATTTAGCATTTTTTCTCTTCTACTTTTTTTTCAGTGCTGGGGGTCAAGTCCAGGACTTCTTGCTGGGCAAGTGCTCTATCATCACATACTACATCGTCCAATTTTTTTTTCTATTTATTTCTTGTCAGCAAAATAATTATTCCCAAGCAGATACTACTTACCTTACTCCTTACTTACATGTATGTCACAGTTTGTAAATACATGACGGAACCTCAGTATTTGGGGACATTTTACAATTCACTTGTGACTTTTGCTCATATGATCTTTTCTCTTTTTCACAGAGATATGACTGAAGTTGTACATATTAAAGACAGGAAAGAGGCAATCCATGAGCTGAAATACTCTCCAGATGGCACTTACCTTGCTGTTGGCTGCAATGACAGCTCAGTTGACATCTATGGCGTTGCTCAGCGTTACAAAAAAGTTGGTGAATGTGTTGGTTCACTTAGCTTCATCACTCATCTGGACTGGTCTTCAGATAGTAGATATTTACAGACAAATGACGGCAGTGGAAAGCGGCTTCTGTACAGGATGCCAGGTGAACTTTTCCAGCACACTGCATATAGTTCATTGACGTTTAATGTCCGTGGTATTTAAATTTTCAATAAGAGTAAATTGTAAATTATGTTTGATTATAGGCAGAGTAATCTGAGCTATTTCAGGCTTTATGGTCTTTTCTACAAGACAAATATCTTTAAGAATTCTTTCCCATCAGAATATTGAGTTGTAAATGACTCAAAATTCTATACATTTAAAATTTACAATGTGATCTTTAAAAAAAAAACATTGAGATAAGGTCTCATTATGTTTCCTGGCTAACCTGGAACTGACTATGTAGACCATGCTGGTTTCAGATTCTGAGATCCGCCTGCCTCTACCTCTAAAGTGCAGTGATTAAAATTCTGTGCCACCATGCCCAGCCCAGTGTGTTGTTTTTTTTTTAAAGTATGTACATACATTGGACATTGTAAAATGATATTCACAATTACACTAATTGTCATATCTATCTCCTAATACAGTTATTGTATTTCTGTGTGTAGTAGACACATTCAAGATCTTTGTTAGCAGATTTCAAGTATACCATGCAGTAATACAGTGTGAATAGTAACAGGTACTCAGAATTCATCATGCACACCTGGGACTTAGTGCCCTGGAGAACACGTCCCCATCACAGCACTTCTCCCAGCTCTTGGATACCAGCATTGTAAACCCTTCTTAATTAAAACTCCAAACCTCTCAAAATGACTTTCTACACCTCTACTTAATGTGGTGCTTTGTGAATTAATCACTCTTATAAGAACTTATTTAATAAGATTGGTGGTGTAATAAATCAATGCATCTTTACCCAAGATTTTCGTTAATGATGTGAGCCCTAAAGTCCTCTTACCTAACACAAAGATATCACCCTCCACTGATCATTCCTTTTTAGTCTTTTTAAGCCCCCCTCCCAATTATATATCTTGGGTTTCTTTTTAATACCTGATTTGTCGCTTTATCATAGCTTTTCCCCTTTCTTCTTTTCCTTCCTTCTCTCTTTCCCTGTTTCCCTCCATCCCCGCCTTCCTTCCCTTCCACTCTTCTCTTTCCCCCTTCCTTTTACCTTTTCTTCCTCCTCCCTCTTCCTTCCTTCTGTCCCTCCTGTTTGTTTTGTGTTTTATTGAACATATTACAGAATATGTTTAGTAAAAAATATTAAAGCCCTTGCCATTAGTAGACCCCTTAGATTCTTTTTCTGCTCCCACTTTCTTCTCGTATGCTGGAACAGCAGCTGTACAGTGAGCAGTCGGTTCAGAGTTGTCCGGAAGATGAGGAGAGAGTGGATGTAGGAGAGCTCAGAGACCACTAGTTGCCAGAGGGGGATCTCATTCTACCCCATAGCTTCCTCAGAACCAAGACCTTGACAATCCCCCAAAAAGGCATCTTTTGCTTTTTCTCACAACTTACCCAGTTGTCACTAATCTGTATTATGATTTTAATACGGTTCAGTTCTTTTTTCCATATGGATGAGCCTGCTGAATTGATAATTACGTTCAAACTCTCTAAACCGATATGATGTTAGTAACATTTAAATTTTTTTTCTTTCTTTCTTTCTTTTTTTTTTTTGGTTTTTCGAGACAGGGTTTCTCTGTGGTTTTGGAGCCTGTCCTGGAACTAGCTCTTGTAGACCAGGCTGGTCTCGAACTCACAGAGATCCACCTGCCTCTGCCTCCCAAGTGCTGGGATTTAAGGCATGTGCCACCACCACCCGGCCATTTAAATTTTTCTAATTTTGTTTTTTCTTCTAACCCACACTTACCTATCTGTTCATGTATTCTTCTCTAACTTAGGTATAAGGTGTTAAAATTTACATTTGAGTGAAAAGAATCAAATGAAGTAATTTCTTAAATGAAGACTCTTTTATTTTTAGGAGGAAAGGAAGTGACAAGTAAAGAAGAAATAAAAGGTGTTCACTGGGCTTCATGGACATGTGTTTCAGGCCTTGAAGTCAATGGGATTTGGCCCAAGTATTCTGATATCAATGATATAAATTCAGTGGATGGAAATTATGTTGGCCAGGTTTTAGTTACAGCTGATGACTATGGAGTTGTAAAATTATTTCGATATCCATGCTTAAGAAAAGGTATCTTCCTTTTTAATATTTTAACTAACCATCTCATAAAAGATGTTATGTTCTTACATAGTCTAGATAAATGATATAAATTAATATTTCAAAGGATATATTAATTGGTGTAGACTTTATTTTATCATTTCAAAAATTATTGTACTCTTACTTTTTTTAGTTATGAAATTTTTACTGAAAACTATTTTTCATTCATTATAACATGTAGTAATAGTTTTTCACCTGACTTGTTAATAATTACTACACATATATTAAAGACAACTCCATAATGGTGATTACAAGAGCAGCTGAAATAGCTTGATACAAGTCTATAGTGAACACATCCAACTTAAGTACTGGGTTTTCATGGAAGCCCAAGCTGTACTGATAGTGTGCATGTGTACTGATGATGAATTCAAGACTCTGCAGTCCCTTCATCCTGCCAGTTCCTCCCTGTGAATGTCAGATGCTCTAAATAATAAATAATTCCATTCTGTGAATAAAGGTTGGCTGTATTTTTAGTGAGGGAAGCCCCTGTTTCTAATCTTCTACCACAGGACATGTGAGGCATCAGACATTATTCGATGCTGTTTTTTTTTAAAGATTCATCTATATTGTTTCATATACTTTTTGGTTTTTTTTACTGCCATAATATAATAGTGTTGTAAATGCATGTTATAGTTTGTGCATCTATTTTCCCATTAGTTAGCATTTGAGTCATTTCTAGCCTTTTGTTAACATGTGTAAGTTTCCCGGAACTGTATATAGTGTGAAACTGTTGGATGATAGAGTGTATGGATGCTGAACTTTATAAGAAAATGTCAGTTTGCTTTGGCTCACAACCTGTTCAGCACTTGGCCTGACCATTCGTCCTTTTAATTTTTGCAAATGTAGGTACTGTAAGTCATATTTTGCAGTCTCATTAAAATCTGTACTGGTGAGACTGAGCTTCATTTTCAGATGTTTGGGGGGAGGTTTCTGTGCTTCCTGTGTCAGAGTTCTCTTGCTATGTGGTTGCTTCTTTTGTTGAACTGTTGATATATTCCAGTAAGTTCAGGTGATTTATGATTTTTATGGATTGCAAGTATCATTTCTCAATGTGCAGTCAGTTCCTTTCTTTTTTTTTCTGAGAGATAGTCTTTATAGCCCAGACTGGCCTCAAATTTACTATGTAGTTGAAGAGACTAGACCCAAGTTTTTATCTTACTTATTCTTAGAGTTCACAGGTGTCACAGTTGTTAGGACTGGTGAGCTTGCCTCACTTGGCCAGCGTGTGTAGCAGCTCCTGGTATTATGAAAGCAAGTCTTCAGAGAGGAGGCTTGAGGTCAGATCCAGCTGCATTCCTCCAAGTCCTGTGTTGCAAGCACATAGTGTCTTCAGCAGTAGGAACTTAGTGCAGTTTTTGTGGGTCCTACCAAAATACATTGTAAAATCAGTAAAGGAAACATTTGCACCCTTCAGTTCATTCATTTGTTCACTTAGCTAATTATTTTAAATCATTTTCCCATCTGGTCATACTTGACATAATGGTCTAATGTTGTAATAGTTTGAATAAAGTAGTTGTGTAATAGTTTGAATAAAGTGGTATTTTGTGTACTGGCCTTTATCAGTTTAAAGATATGTTTTTGTTATAGGGGCCAAGTTTAGAAAATATATTGGTCATTCAGCTCATGTAACTAATGTCAGATGGTCACATGATTATCAGTGGGTTATTTCTATTGGTGGAGCTGATCACTCTGTGTTTCAGTGGAAGTTTATTCCTGAAAGAAAATTAAAAGATGCTCTTCACATAGCACCCCAAGGTAAGCTTAAATATCTTCCTCATTTATAGCTCCAAATTAATGATTTTACCATAAAAGCTTACTAATAGCAGAACTTTCAGTTTAAATAGGTCTACATCTTTAAAGTCAGGTGTCACAGAGTATGCCATGTGAAGTAATTGGGTTGAAATTTAATTTATCAAACGAGTAAAGTAATAGTTCTACTAGTAAAACCAGTGATTCTTTATCTCAGAGATTCAGGTTCCTAGGTTTTGTATATGCTACAAAAAAAATCAGTTCATTTGTGTGTGTAGTATTTTTAATGTTGTTTATAGGTTATATTCACTTATCTATGTATACATTTAAATTTGATGTAGCCATCATTGGGGAACCAGTGGAGGGATTTAAAGGAGCTGTTGAGTTTGCAGTGAGTGGACAGGAAGATAATCTGTATTAGTACAGTTTACTGACATCTGGGTCACTTGAATAGGTAATTTCATTTTATTGTTTTATGGCTTTTTCCATGTCAAACTGACAGAGTCATCCCTTAATTATTAATTTTTACATTGTTGTTTTGAAAGTAAATCTTTAAACAAATGATATTTTATTTTTAAAAAATGTACAGAAAGTCTGGCTGAGTCCAATAGTGATGAATCAGATTCAGATCTATCTGATGTTCCGGAACTGGATTCTGAGATTGAGCAAGAGACACAGCTTACTTACCACCGGCAGGTAATGTCCTAGTAGCCCATGATGTTGTCCCCCAAAAGTTCATGTTCTTTGCATCTGAAACTTACATTAAGTATATGAGCGTCTTTATTAATACCTACCCTAATCATATTGTTGTGTACATACATTTTTAAGGTTTACAAAGAAGATCTACCTCAGCTTAAAGAACAATGCAAAGAAAAACAGAAAAGTGCTACTTCTAAACGAAGAGAACGTGCTCCTGGAAATAGTATTCGACTGCACTTCATTCATGGGTATGAATTCTATTTTTTATTTGTGTGTTTGAATTTGAGTTTGCACTTATAAGCTTGGCAAAGTCACCTTGCTGTGTGTCTGTTTCCATCTCTTCAAATTGGTGCCTGACTAAAAATGTCACAATGAGGAATAAATAAGCAATGCCAGTGATGATGGACAGCATTGTCTGCACACATGGAGCCACCATGAAAGTATGATTAAATTTCTAAAAACTGTTTTTGAAAGTTCATATAAATGGGCATCTCACCTTAAAAATGTAGGATATTAATGATCTCGCCTACAATGTGACTAATTTGAAATTTTCTGAGACCCCTTTTACCTGCCTGTTTATTTTTTAATTGATTTTATTGAGCTATACATTTTTCTCTGCTCCTCTTCCTTCCTCTCCCCTCCCCTTCAACCCTCTCACATGGTCCCCATGCTCCCAGTTTACTCAGGAGATCTTGTCTTTTTCTATTTCCCATGTAGATTAGATCTATGTATATCTCTCTTAGGGTCCTCATTGTTGTCTAGGTTCTCTGGGATTGTGAATAGTAGCCAGGCTTTCTTTGCTTTATGTTTAAAAAACTACTTATAAGTGAATACATATGATAATTGTCTTTCTGGGTCTGGGTTACCTCACTCAATATGATGTTTTCTAGCTCTATCCATTTGCCTGCAAATTTCAAGATGTCATTATTTTTTTCTGCTGTGTAGTAAGTACTCCATTGTATAAATGTACCACATTTTCCTTATCCATTCTTTGGTTGAGGGGCATTTAGGTTGTTTCCAGGTTCTGGCTATGACAAACAATGCTGCTATGAACATAGTTGAGCACACGTCCTTGTGGCATGATTGAGCATCCTTTGGATATATACCCAAAAGTGGTGTTGCTGGGTCTTGAGAAAGGTTGTTTCCTAATTTTCTGAGAAGTCGTCATACTGCTGTCCAAAGGGGCTGTATCAGCTTGCATTCCCGCCAGCAATGCAGAAGTGTTCCCTTTACCCCACAACCTCTATAGCATAAGTTGTCATCAGTGTTTTTGATCTTTTGCCTGCCTATTTAATGTTTAGCCTCACGTTTTAGCTCCTCAGCAGCAAGTTTCTCCCCTCAGGAAACATGCATTTTCTCGCCAGATTGTTAATACTTTCTAAGAATTTGTAAAGAATTTTATGAAAACTATTTCCAGGGATAGCTCAGTGGTTAGGAAGGGTTTCTGCTCTTCCATGAGACCTGAATTCTGTTGCCAGCGCCTGTGGCCTCCAAGGGTACCTGCACATGTTTAACAGATCCACCCACACAACACATACATAAAATAAACCCTAAAAATAAAGAATATACCTTCTAATGTTAAAATAGATAATAGTTTTGTTCAACTATGTTGTGTGAATTGGACTTATTTGAATCACAAAGCAAGGTTGTCATTGATGGGATTATATTAACCATTTTAATCAACCAATTAAAATATGTAAATATTTCTATTTATCACTTAAAGTTACTGTTGGGACATGTATTATTACATTGCCACAGTCCACATTGTGCTTAACTAAGTACTTCTTGAAATCTTCTCACTTCTCCTTACTGCCCGCACCCAGGTGTCATTTCCTTCCCCTATAAATAATATTTACTTTCAGAAATATTTGAATACAAATGCGTATTCATTCTTTATTGTGTATAAAAGGAAGTGGTTTTGCATTGTAGAATGCAAATTTAATAGTGTTTTTGCAAATACTAGAATACAGAAATTTCTGTACCTGATTTCTTTGATGAATACTTTAGCCTAGATTTAGCTATTTGTAACCAGAGAGACTCATAACAGTATGTAGATTCTAAGAAACTGGCATTTTCCTTTAACTATTCAGTTCCTTTATGACCAGAAATTAAGTGATCTGAATGATACCTATTTCTCTGTATATTAAATATTGATCAGATGAAAGGTTAAAATACATTGTACATGATTTATTTTCTGCATTAGTTACAGAGGTTATGACTGTCGAAGTAATCTTTTCTATACTCAAATTGGTGAAATTGTGTACCATGTGGCAGCAGTAGGTGTCATCTATAATAGACAACAGAACACACAGCGTTTTTACCTGGGTCATGATGATGACATTCTGTGCCTGGCTATTCATCCTTTGAAGGATTATGTGGCCACAGGCCAGGTAAGTCCTCCTAAAAGACCATGTTACAATAAATCAGATAGGCAACTTTTTAAAAATCTTGCTTTTGAGATTTATTTTTATGCACCATAATCTTAGTGTCCTCTTTGAGGTGATACTCCAAGTGACTCAGTTCTATATCTTAAAGATTTTATCATTCCTGATAACAGCCATAGGCTAGAGATCAACTCTCATGTGTATATTAGAGGGCCCTTCACATCCAAACTATATAGCACCAAGTTAAAGACTGAGGGTGGGTGGGTGAATAAGAAGGTATGTTTGAAGTTTCTTCCATGAAGAAGAGATACAGTAACAAAGAAAGGAAGGTAGAGCATTGGGAATCCAGAGATAAACACTCAACTAAAGAACACATAACACCAGAAAGATAAACACAAGTTCTAGAAAAAAAATACACCTTACTAGAAGAGTAAACAAATGACAATTATCAATCAAACATTATTGAATTTGTACTCAGAAAGCTTCTAAGGTGAAGAAAGAAGAACTCAGCACATACTCTTTAATAATAACCCCAAGTGTAAATGCTCTGAGCCTTCCAAGTAAAAGATGGAGACTGAGGGGGCTGTCACTGAATGGGAAACACCTTCTTGGCTCCAGTGGCTAGTCAGTGAGCTCTGGGCATCTGCCATCTCTGCTCCTCAGTGCTGAGGTTACAGCCACAGACAACAGTACTGACTTTGTAGTAGATACTAGGGATTCAAATTAGATCATCAGATCCTCATGCTTGTAGAGCTAATGTTCTTACTCACTGGACCATCTCCCCAATCCTTAGAATCTAGATTTTACATTTATTTATGGTGTGTGTGTGTGTGTGTGTGTGTGTGTGTGTGTGTGTGTGCAAGCACATGTGCACACATGAACACATGGCTCTCCTTCCACCATGTGGAAGGTTTGGGGGTAACAGTGGACATCTCACAGGTTCCCATAGTCTAGATTTTAAAAGAAGGTATGCAAATCAAAGGGTTACCTTCTGAGAAGAGCAAAGGGATTAGGGGAAGGGGAGCAAGAGCCAGTAATGGGAGGGTGAATGTACTCAAAAGAGCATTACATATGTGTGAAAATGTCATGACCCCGTTATTTTAGATAATACATACCAATAAAAAACAGTATATAGTAGAAAAACAATATCAGGGTGATATTGTCCATTTTGGTTTCATATACTTGCTTAGTACTTTAACCCTTTCTGAATTTTTGATTATGCCAGTATTCTAATCTAGAATATTCTTGCTTACTTCTCTTACTGTAAGATATATACTTTCTGAAGTCATAGCTCTATTATATGTTATCTGTTTCATGAAGTCTTTTCTTGAAATTTATTTTATTTTCAAGTATATAGTACCATGTGTTCTTAATGTTCTGTTTTTCTAAGGAGTTTACCAAAGTTATCTGAATGTCACAACACTTAAAGTGCCTATCAGAGTAACCCTGCCAATAATAGGTACTTAGTAATCATTTATTATCATTATTGATGGATTGTAGAAGGAGTAGAAGGAGTCATATATAGCTCTGTCATATGCCTGGAGACACTGTGCCTAGCTTGATTATCTGTTTTTGTTTTGCCCAGGGTATTAAACCAAGGACTGCATACATATTAAGCATAGTTTGTATAAGTAAGCCACAACCTCAGTCCCCTTAATTAGCATTTCAGAATGTTTTCAGTTAGTAAAATAATGGATCATACCGTGCCATTTTCATTTTCACAAATCTGTATCATTTTCTTTGGTTATCTCTTCACTCTGCTCTCTTCAGTCCCTCTTAGAGTTTGAAGAAAGGTTAATGAGAAAAATACCATGTTTGTACTCTTCTGTTTGTTTTTAACCAGAAAAATTTCCATGACATATAAAGACAATATAGGTATTTTGTTTCCTTTTAACAAATATAAAAATAATTGTTTACAATGGCTTTTATAATTGTATCTTTATCAGGTAGGTAGAGATCCCTCGATTCACGTATGGGATACAGAAACCATTAAACCATTGTCTATATTAAAGGGCTACCACCAATATGGCATCTGTGCAGTTGATTTCTCAGGTAAGACTCTTCTATCTCAAAAAGAATGGTCAAAAAACAGAGGGAATATATAGTGTTTAAATCAGTGTTACCTAAGCTTGCTATTTAACTATGGCCTTCACGGTTTTTATCAAGTGTGCATACTGTTCTAACCAAATAACGATTAAGCTAGGTTTTCTGGCTTATTTATAATTACAGTGTAATGACTTTAACTGTAAAGCTTTTTTAAAATGTTCGTGATAATATCAGCATAAAAATGGTTTTGTGCAAAACACCTAAAATTGTCATGGTTACTCTTGTAATATGTACCTTCCCTTTGGGCAAATTTTGATGTTAATCTTTTACAGCTTTAAAGTAAACTTTAAAAATGTTTAGTATGAGAGTCCGGTTTTATCCCATGCTTTTTCAGTCACAGTCCAGCTGGCCTTGGTGAGCTCCCAATAGATCAGCCCCACTGTCTCGGTGGATGGGTGCACCTCTCGTGGTCAGAAGCCAAGGACAATGGCATGGGATTTTGTTCCTACTTCATGTTCTGGCTTTGTGGGAGCCTAGCCAGTTTGGATGTTCACCTTCCTAGACCTGGATGGAGGGGAGAAGACCCTGGACTTTCCACAGGGCAGGGAACCCTGACTGCTCTTTGGACTGGAGAAGGACGGGGAGAGGGATAGGGGGAGGGGGAGAGGGATGGGGAGGGGGAAAGGGATGGGGAGGGGGAAAGGGGCGGGAGGAGGGGGAGGGAAATGGGAGGCTGGGAGGAGGCAGGAATTTTTTTTTCAATAAAAAAAATGTTTAGTATGAATGAGATGAGAATGTTTCCCAGGTGTCTATATTAAGTAGCAGTTTCAGTGCATCTTATAATTTTAATTCATGGGATCAGTTTAGCTACTACAGATATACCTACAGTGAAACTTGTTGTGTTGATTGGAATGAAATATTTTATTGAAGAAGTATATATTATGTGTTTTTGTTGCCTAAACCAAAGTCAGTTATTCATAAATAAGACTTTGAGGGAAATAGTATGTACACATACATTTTCAAGAGTACTAATGGTCAAGAAACAAGAAAATGTAAAGCAGACTGAGTGGATCAATAACAAAAACATCACTGGTGGCACTGAACAACTAAGATTTTCAAAAGCAAGGCAGAGTGGAAAAGGTTCATTTACACTCTGGACCTTATAAGCTGTAAACACATACATTTCTGGCAGTATGTCTCAAGTCATTTGCTTCAATATTTAATATAGTCATTATTGTTTGGTAACAGTGACAACTGAAACTTGGCCTTCACTAAAGCGGCCACACTACCGACAGCATAACCTAGATGCTTTTCATTTTACTTTTCATAGTCACTGGGTTTTTATGTCCCAACAGTTCTTAATAGTGAATTTAATTGAAATAGGCCTGTTTTCTCTTAATTATTTAATAATCTGTTATTTTCTTAATATAGATTCTGGTTTTATTTTTTTTATTTATTTATTAAAGATTTCTGTCTCTTCCCCACCGCCGCCTCCCCTTTCCCTCCCCCAATCAAGTCCCCCTCCCTCGTCAGCCCAAAAAGCAATCAGGGTTCTCTGCCCTGTGGGAAGTCCAAGGACCACCCACCTCCATCCAGGTCTAGTAAGGTGAGCATCCACGAAACTGCCTAGGCTCCCACGAAACCAATAGGTCCAGTAGAATCAAAAACCCGTTGCCATTGTTCTTGAGGTCTCAGTAGTCCTCCTTGTCCGCTATGTTCAGCGAGACCAGTTTTGACCCAGGCTTTTTCAGACCCAGGCCAGCTGGCCTTGGTGAGTTCCTGATAGAACATCCCCATTGTCTCAGTGTATGGGTGCACCCCTCGCGGTCCTGAGTTCCTTGCTTGTGCTCTCTCTCCTTCTGCTCCTGATTTGGACCTTGAGATTTCAGTCCGGTGCTCCAATGTGGGTCTCTGTCTCTGTCTCCTTTCATCGCCTGATGAAGTTTAATATTCAGGAGGATGCCTATATGATTTTCTTTGGGTTCTCCTTCTTATTTAGCTTCTCTAAGAACCCGAATTATAGGTTCAATGTCCTTTATTTATGGCTAGAAACCAAATATGAGTGAGAACATCCCATGTTCCTCTTTTTGGGTCTGGCTTACCTCACTCAGGATGGTGTTTTCTATTTCCATCCATTTGCCTGCAAACTTCAAGAAGTCCTTGTTTTTTACTGCTGAGTAGTACTCTAATATGTATATATTCCATACTTTCTTCATCCATTCTTCAATTGAAGGGCATCTAGGTTGTTTCCAGGTTCTGGCTATTACAAACAATGCTGCTATAAACATAGTAGAGCATATACTTTTGTTGTGTGATAAGGCCTCTCTTGGGTATATTCCCAAGAGTGGTATTGCTGGGTCCATGGGTAGGTTGATCCCAAATTTCCTGAGAAACCTCCACACTGCTTTCCAGAGTGGTTGCACAAGTTTGCATTCCCACCAGCAATGGATGAGTGTACCCCTTTCTCCACAACCTCTCCAGCAAAGGCTATCATTGGTGTTTTTGATTTTCGCCATTCTGACAGGTGTAAGATGGTATCTTAAAGTTGTCTTGATTTGCATTTCCCTGATCGCTAAGGAAGTTGAGCATGACCTTAGGTGTCTTTTGGCCATTTGAACTTCTTCTGTTGAGAGATCTCTGTTCAACTCAGTGCCCCATTTTATAATTGGGTTGATTAGCCTTTTACGGTCTAGTTTCTTGAGTTCTTTATATATTTTGGAGATCAGACCTTTGTCAGTTGTGGGGTTGGTGAAGATCTTCTCCCAGTCAGTGGGTTGCCTTTCTGTCTTAGCAACAGTGTCCTTTGCTTTACAGAAGCTTCTCAGTCTCAGGAGGTCCCATTTATTCAATGAGGCCCTTACTGTCTGTGCTGCTGGGGTTATACGTAGGAAGTGGTCTCCTGTGCCCACGTGTTGTAGAGTACTTCCCACTTTCTCTTCAATCAGGTTCAGTGTGTTTGGACTGATATTGAGGTCTTTCACCCACTTGGACTTGAGTTTTGTGCATGGTGATAGATATGGGTCTATTTTCATTCTTCTACAGATTGACATCCAGTTTTGCCAGCACAATTTGTTGAAGATGCTCTCTTTTTTCCATTGTATACTTTTAGCTCCTTTATCGAAAATCAGGTGTTCATATGTTTGTGGGTTAAAGTCAGGGTCTTCTATTCGATTCCATTGGTCGACTTCTCTGTTTTTATGCCAATACCAAGCTGTTTTCAATACTGTAGCTCTGTAATAGAGTTTGAAGTCAGGGATGGTAATGCCTCCAGACGTTCCTTTATTGTATAAGATTGTTTTGGCTATCCTGGGTTTTTTGTTTTTCCATATAAAGTTGATTATTGTCTTCTCCAGATCTGTGAAGAATTTTGATGGGATTTTGATGGGGATTGCATTGAATCTATAGATTGCTTTTGGTAGAATTGCCATTTTTACTATGTTGATCCTCCCAATCCAAGAGCAAGGGAGGTCCTTCCATTTTCTGGTGTCCTCCTCTATTTCTTTCTTCAAAGACTTGAAGTTCTTGTCAAATAGATCTTTCACTTCCTTGGTCAGGGTTACCCCAAGATATTTTATGCTCTTTGTGGCTATCGTGAAAGGTGATGCTTCTGTGATTTCCCTCTCTGTTTCCTTATCCTTAGTGTATAGGAAGGCAACTGATTTTTTGGAGTTGATCTTGTATCCAGCCACGCTACTAAAGGTGTTTATCAGCTGTAGGAGTTCTTTGGTAGAATTTTTGGGGTCGCTTATGTATACTATCATGTCATCTGCAAATAACGAAAGCTTAACTTCTTCCTTTCCAATACGAATCCCCTTGATCCCCTTATGTTGTCTTATTGCTATTGCTAGAACTTCAAGCACTATATTGAAGAGGTATGGAGAGAGTGGACATCCTTGTCTTGTTCCTGATTTTAGTGGGATGGCTTTGAGTTTTTCTCCATTTAATTTAATGTTAGCTGTCGGTTTGCTGTAGATAGCTTTTATTATATTTAGGTATGACCCTTGTATCCCTATTCTCTCCAAGACCTTTATCATAAAGGGGTGTTGAATTTTGTCGAATGCTTTTTCCGCATCTAATGAAATGATCATATGGTTTTTTTCTTTCAGTCTATTTATATGGTGGATTACATTGATAGATTTGCGTATGTTGAACCAGCCCTGCATCTCTGGGATGAAGCCTACTTGATCATAATGGATAATTTTTCTGATGTGTTCTTGAATTCGGTTTGCCAGTATTTTATTGAGAATTTTTGCGTCGATATTCATGAGTGAGATAGGCCTGTAATTCTCTTTCTTGGTTGGGTCTTTGTGTGGTTTTGGTATCAGGGTAACTGTAGCTTCATAAAAGGAATTTGGCAATGACTTTTCTGTTTCTATATTGTGAAATACGTTAAGGAGTATAGGTATTAGCTCTTCTTGGAAGTTCTGGTAGAATTCTGCGTTGAACCCATCTGGTCCTGGGCTTTTTTTGGAAGGGAGATTTTTGATAACAGTTTCTAGTTCTTCGCGACTAACAGGTCTATTTAGATCATTCACCTGGTCTTGGTTTAGCTTTGGTATATGGTACTTATCTAAAAAAATGTCCATTTCTTTTGCATTTTCCAGTTTTGTGGCATACAGGCTTTTATAGTAAGATCTAATGATTCTCTGGATTTCCTCTGTGTCTGTGGTTATGTCCCCCCTTTCATTTCTGATTTTATTTATTTGCGTGTTCTCTCTCTGTTGTTTAGTTAGTTTGGATAGGGGTTTGTCGATCTTGTTGATTTTCTCCAAGAACCAACTTTTTGTTTCATTGATTCTTTGGACTGTTTTCTGTGTTTCTATTTTGTTGATTTCTGCCCTCAGTTTGATTATTTCCAGTCTTCTACTCCTTCTGGGCACCTCTGCTTCTTTTTTTTCTAAAGCTTTCAGGTGTGCCATTAAGTCCCCAATGTATGCTTTCTCTGTTTTCTTTAAGTGGGCACTTAGTGCTATGAACTTTCCTCTTAGCACTGCTTTCATCGTGTC